CAATGTGATAGCCAATGCATTCAGTAAAAAAAGTATAGGTATATTAGCTCACCTAATGGTTTCAGAATGCAGGTTAATAGGGGCCACACAACAGGTACGACTTCAAAACCTAAAAAGAGTTACATATTTGACCCACTTGACTTTTAATCTGAATTGATCTAGAGAATAAAAGAAGCTCAATCCGCCGATTTTACCATAACAGCCCTCAAGAAAGATGCAGAACATGGAGTAAATCTAGAATTTTGAGTTTCTGTTGATGAGTTGCTTAGATTTCAAGACATGGTGTGTGTTCCATGTGACAGTGAGCTAAAAAAGGACATCATGACAAAGGTTCGTAGCTCAAAGTTTGTCATGCATCATGAAAGCACTAAGATGTAATAAAGTATGCGACCCTGATTTTGGTGGAATAGGATGAAAAGAGAGGTGGCCGATTTTATTTCCAAGTATTTGGTATATCAGCAAGTCAAAACAGAGTATCAATGCCCAGATGGGCTACTTCAACCATTACCAATTCCGGAGTGAAAGTGGGAACACATCACAATGAATTTCATGACAAAATTGCCTAAAACACGCTCATGACATGATATTATTTGGATAATTGTTGATCGGCTTACCAAATTTTTCTATTTTTTGACCATCAAGATGACTGACCCCTTGGATAAGTTAGCAAGAATATATATTCGGGAGATAATCAGGTTACATAGAGTGTCAGTGACAGTAGTATTCGACAAGGACCCCATATTCACTTCTCGGTTCTAGTTTAGTTTTCAGCAAACAATGGAAACGAAACTGTCCCTTAGTACCATTCCACCCTCAGACCGATAGTCAATCAGAAAGGATGATCTGCACACTGGAGGATATGCTCCGAGCTTTTGTTCTTAACTTCGGGGGTCATTGGGATGATCATTTACCCTTAATAGAGTTCGCTTACAATAACGGCTACCAAACAAGTATCGACACGACTCCGTATGAGGTCTTATATGGCCACCCGTGCAGATCACTGATATGTTAAGAAGAGGTTGGTGATAGAAAATTGTTCGGCTTATATCTTGTAGAGAATACTACAGCCAAAATAGTTAAAATTATGAAGAACATCCAAATGACTCAAAGCAGACAGAAGAGTTATGCGGACATCCGAATGAGAGATTTGGAATTTGAAAAAGGTGATCGAATATTCCTTAAGGTCACTCATTTCAATAGATCAATAGGTTTAGTGAAAGGAGGAAACTAAATCCTCAGTTTATTGGGCCATTTGAAATCTTAGACAGAATTGATATCACCGCCTATAGATTGACACTACCTCCATAACTATTCAGGGTCCATAATGTATTTCATATATCTATACTACGCAAGTACATCCCGGACCCCTCTCACGTCTTGGCCCACGAGCCCCTTTCACTCCATGAGGATCTGCATACGAGTAGGTACCGATGGGTATTGTGAACCGAAAGAGTAGAGTACTCCGCAACTGAAAAATTTCATTCATTAAAGTCTTAAGACAGAATTACACATAGAGAGACCACATGGGAGCTAGAATCAGACTTTAGATCTCAGTATCCCCAACTATTTGATTGAGTGAGAGAAGGACAAATTTGAGAGATCAAATTTCTTTTAAGGGGGGAGACTTGTAATATCTGAGCCCAAAATTTGGCCCGAGATTAATTTTAAAATTAAATATATATAAATATAATTTATAAATTTATAAATTTTTATTTAATGTAAAATTAGAAAAAAAGGTAAATGATGAAATTGAAAATAATTTTGAAAAAAAGCGGTAAAAATTTGGGTTCAGAGGGTATTTTTGAAAGAAAAATCAGAAACTATGGATCAAAATACAATTAAGAAAAAATATACTATGTAAGACTGCCCAGTCAGCAGTCTCGAAGAACCAGAGCGCGCCGTATGGCATGACACGCTGACTCGGTGCCATGCGAGAGACCACGTTGACAATCTACGTGCCCGTGATCGAATAATCTGGATCTGTTCCCTCCTCAGGCATGATTGGACGGTCGCAATTAAACACGATGAATGATCCATATTTATTCCCTCTTTAAATGCGATTGTACGGTCGAGATCAAATCACGATGAACGGTGCAGATCCATTTTCTCTTTAAACGCGATCGGACGATCGAGATCAAACGCGATAAATGACCCAGATTTAAGGGAGATGACTATAAATATCTTACTTCACACCGAACCCAAACCCCAGCCGTCAGCCCCCCACTGGAGAAGAAGAACTAGTCGTCGGAGAAGGGAGCCGACCGCCGTCTGCCGCCACGCCGGAGCCACCTTCGACTGCCAAAAAAGGTAAAAAAATTTCTATTAACTCAGAATTTAATTTTGAACACCCCCATGGCCAAATCGGAGCAAAAGAAATAGCAGATGAGCCAGAAACCACGAGTAAAGTCTAGCGGCGTCGCCGCAAGAAAAATAAAAAATCGCATCTGATGAGTCCTTTTCCGTTTCCCATTTTATGCGATTTTTCCACCATTGTGTTCACTATTCTATTTTTTACAGGTTGATTGAAGAAAAATGCACAGCCGTGAAGGTGAGTCGGCAGAGCTACTACACCAAAAAATTCTGCCCCCAGTAAGTTTTTGTTTTTTGATTTTTTTAAACCAACCGAGGTCCCTTAATGTATTTTCTCGCATGAATGAGTATAAAAATAGCCGAAATCGACCAACACTGGCAAAAAACGGCTAGTCCGAAACAAACCGCCGCCACAAGCAGCAGTGTCGTCACTGGAGCACGGCAGTGCTGCCGTGCCAGAATTTCAAAATTGGCCGAAAAATATTTTTAACACCGATTTTGGGTCTTTTGGGGTATTTTTAAGTACGTAAAGCGTGTTTTAATCTATGCAGAAAAATTCAAGAAACTCGGAGACCGCTGGTAAGCGCAGTTGAAAGTTCAGCATTTCGAATACCGATTCGAGTAAGAATCCCTCACCATATTCCCTGTTATAGAATTGAAGTTTAATTATTAATAATACAATATTTTGCGTGATTTAGAAAGCTTCAAAAATTAATTATAAGTTACTAATGGAGGCCGAACTGGTTACTTATTATATTTTATCTTATGTAACCGATTATTTGATTTTACAGTTTTAAATGCATGATAACATACTAGAATTAGTAAAATAATTTAGTTATGTTTCCTTAATGCATGTATTGTTTGTCTTGCATTGATTTACGGTTAAATTGTGAAACTGAAAATTAAATATAAAAAGAAAATTGATTGGTTAAGTAAATGAATGAATGGTAGTCTTACTAGATATTTTGAGAGATAGTGCACGAACCAGGTACATAGAAAATTCTACCGTGAACGTCGTCTTATACTAGACGGGATATCGAGGATTGATATTTTTGGCGTTCATACCGGACATGGTATGAGAATGACCCGTTTTACCCTCATACTAGATGAAGTATCGAGGGATAATATTCTTGGCACTCATACCGGACGGGGTATGAGGACAGCCGGTTAGTTGACAATGTTGAATAATGGTTCACGCGTAGTGAGACATACCTATAGACCCTTATGGATACCAGTAGACAAACAAAAAGAAAAATTTGTTATTCTTGCTTACTTGAAAATGAGATTGGAATGCTATTTAAATTATTATATCTATAAATCGGTTTTGAAAATTTCGCAACGATAAATATGCAATAAATGATTTTACTTATGATAAATGAATTTACTTAAATTAAGAGCTCTATTGGTTGTTTTTATGATTTTTACCAATATTCGTTTTCTGTATCGGTGAGTAGTATGATATTCTTACTGACTAGTGTAGCTCATCCATTCATTAACTATTTCAGATCAAGAGGAACATAACCCATATCCCGATCAACAAGAAGGTTGTGAATAATTCACCACCTGAACTTCTTAAAAAGCTAGTGAAGGTCGTCTTAAAATACTCAGTTGTTTCATTTTCATTTATTTTTTTGATTTTCGTTTGTTCTTTTATAAGTAACATTCTCGTAACCCTAATGGGTATTTAAAATTATTGTGTAAGCAATGTAAATCATAACTCTATTCTTCCGTTTTTGCATTCAATTTATGATTTTATTTTATTTTAAGTTTCGGACTGTTACAAGAACATACTACACATATGCAATACAAAATAGTTATATAAATTGGTATAGAATTTTGATAATATTATAATAAAATACTACAATAGAAAATGAAATTGCACTTGTCGGTTTAATTGTCCTGCGATTTATTGAGATTTGAATTAATTGATAAGTAGTTACATAAAAAATTAATACACATATACTGTGTAAATAATATAATTGATCGATTTCAAACTTTAGGAAGAGTATATGCAATTATTATAAATACATCATCATCCACTTTTACATGGTTGTGGCAACAGCGGAGCATTTGACTTTTTTGTTCAAAAAATTATTTTGTGCGAATTGTAATTATTTATTTACTTGTATTTTTTATTTTTAAAAAGTAAAAATTTTATTTTTAAAAATAAATTTAAATAATAAATAATTAGAATTTCTAAACATAAGTTGGGAAAATAATTGCAAATTAGGGGAAAAATTAGATATAAATTTCATTTAAATTGTACGGTTTGATATTAACTCTAATGGGTAAAATTATATAATTTTAATTTAATATTTTTTTAACCTTAAATTATGAAAAAATATATTAATGCATTAATGTAATAATCAAATTCTCTTTTATTTTTTTTTAAATTAAAATGAAAAATATTTAAAAAATAAAATATATTCTGATTGTATGAATTATTTACGTGTAATATAAATGAATTAAAAATTAAATAAAATACAATATTATTGAAATATAATATTTAATTTACAGTTTGATTAGTTCCTTTTTAGCTTTAGTAATTTATTGGTTTCATATAAGTATATGTTAATTACTTTCTGGTAATTAATAGATTTTAATTTAGCATGGCATAATATATAATTATGAATAGGAAAGTAAAATTAAAAAGAGGAAAGAAAAGAAAAGAGGATTTATAAGACGGTTGAGTCGTCGAAGACTCAAAGGGAAGCGAAACAGAGAGAGCTCAAAAAGGCACAGAGAGAAGGAGACCCCCATTCTCTTCGCTCCCTTCCCTTTGCTTTGATCCCATTCCCACCAATCACAGACCCCACACTACTCGCTATCTCTCTCTCTCTCTCTCAACGACAACAACAATGCCAGCTTCTCCTTCCTTCCCTTCGGGTAAATCCAAAAAAACAAAACCTAAATTCCTATTTCTCTCGAGAATTCCCTCAACCACTCTCTTTTTGATGAATTTGAATTATTCTCTCTCTAATCCGCGCTCAGACATGCAGTTCTATCTGTGAATCTACACACATCTAATTTTGTATGCTGAATTCTCATTTTTCTCCTAATTTTTGCAGCAGATAATCGTGGCAAATGGAAGAGGCGACGCCGAGGAGAACCTCAAATCGGCCGGAAGTCCAGGCATGAAGAAGAAGAACTAGAGGACGACGAAGAGGAAAACAACGATGACGACCTCGATAACTCGGAGGACCACCAAAATGGAACGGCAGCGCCCGATCCAGGCCCCAGCGAGACTGAGGTGCTCGCTGAGGGTGGGGTCCGCATCTCAGATTTCCCTGCCGTGGTCCGCCGTGCCGTGAACAGACCACACGCGTCCGTCGCTGCGGTTGTGGCGGCCGAGAGGGCCGCTTTGTCGGGGGAGACTAAGGGGCTGCAGGCCTCGCTGCCTGTTCTGGAGAATGTCTCGTACGGCCAAGTCCAGGCATTGTCCGCTGTGCCTGCGGATTCCCCGGTGTTTGATCAGGAGCGGAGTGATGGCCTCGGCGGCGTGAGTTCGGCTTTCGTTATCTCTCCGCCTCCTGTTATGGAAGGTCGAGGCGTCATTAAGCGGTTTGGCAATAGAGTTCATGCAGTACCTATGCATTCAGGTTCTTTCTGCATCTTTAAATTTGTTTTTTGTAATTTTGGATGCAATGTGCGTTTGTACACGTAGATTGTATTCTTTTTGCTATCACGCTGATTGGAGCTAGAATTTAATTTGGTCCTATGGAACTCGGTTAATGATGTGCGATGTGGTACTGCTGTTCTCTTTAGGTCTATTTGTATCTACAAGTGGATTGTAGGTTACTCTAGCAGTCTCCTTGGCAAAATTGCCCGAATAATAACTCATGAAAGCACTATCTAATTGTCCAGGCTGGTTTGGTGAATAGTCTCTATTGCATTGCTGTCTTCCAACCATCCTTGTGTTAAGTACCAGGGTTGCTAGAAGTGGAGATGGTTGTTGTGACTTGTGACCTCAACTCCGAAGTTGTGGAGTGATTCACGTTATCTGAACATAATACCTTTTATTAATGTGGTTTGGTACAAAACAAAGCTTGATTTTAGCGTTTTCTTGTGAAGGTCCTTGGGGAGTTGGGTGGCTTCTTTCGTCTCTATGTAATTGGAGTTATGGCTTAGTTTAGGCAAGAATTAGGTTCTCTTTTGTATTCTTCCTATGTGTCAAGTCTTTGCCATTTCTCTGGGCATTTTTCCTGATGCATTTACTAATATTCAGGCAAAAGTGTGGGTTCGGATCCACAATTTGAATATCCAAACTGATTTATGATTGATGCCAGCAGTTGGATTATGATTATTTCTCGCCTTATTCTTTTTGTGGGCAGATTTTTATGTTATGTTTAGAACATCCTGGGTGGTTTTTTTTTTTTGCTTCGTAGATGCTGGTTATGAAGAATGATTTGATGGCCACGAATCATCTACTTCTATGGTGTCTTATCACTTTCTCCTCTTTGGTCTATGGCATACATTCTCTTGGGAGTTAATTGGGTAATGGCTGGCTTAGTAACAGAGGAGATCTGGGTGTGAAAAGGTATCCATGCAGATAAGTGTTTTGAAAAGAATTTAGGCATGGTCCCTTTGGCTACCTATGGGTTATTTGGAAGAAAAGTAATAGAATGCAGATGCTTGATTCTAGACCCTAGGTTTTTTGATAAAGGGTCATCCTTTTTATTCTTTTGAGGACTTAGGAGATTTGGTTGATATGTTAATAGATTTTCCAAGTGATGTATATGGGTTGTATCCCCTTGTTGCCTTTTAATTTTTTTTAATTCTAATTATAAAATGAGTTCATTCATTCCAAATGTAGCCCAAAGCTTTGATGATCTAGTTGACATTGTAGATATACTAACTGAGATGTAAATTTTGTACATGGGTGGTGCTCCTTTAGCACCTTACATAAATACAAGCTTCATACTTTTATTTTAAAAAAAAAAAAGATCCTGCAGAACTCTCTATTTCCTAAACCAATTCCACCAATTCCACGCATTAACATTAGTATTTACTGTTGGATTTATTGGTTATAAACCTTTTTGTTGTTTTTGTTATTCACCTGTGTGCAGACTGGTTTTCACCACACACAGTGCATCGATTGGAGAGACAAGTGGTGCCACATTTTTTCTCTGGAAAATCTTCTGACTGCACACCAGAGAAATATATGGAATGTAGGAACTACATTGTTGCCAAATACATGGATAATCCAGAGAGGAGACTCACTGTGTCTGATTGCCAGGGATCAGTTGCTGGTGTTAATGATGAAGATTTAACACGGATAGTTCGGTTTCTTGATAACTGGGGAATAATCAATTACTGTGCAGCTGCCCAAGGCCGTGAGCCTTGGAATGACGGTTCTTACTTAAAGGAGGATCCAGCTGGTGAGGTTAATGTGCCATCCGCTGCTTTAAAGTCTATTGATAGTTTGATCAAATTTGACAAGCCCAAATGTAGGCTTAAGGCAGCTGACTTTTATTCATCACTTTCTCGGCGTCATGATGATGTCTCTGACTTGGACAACAGAATTCGAGAGCGTTTATCTGAAAACCATTGCAACTATTGTTCACAGGCCCTGCCAATTGTGTATTACCAGTCACAAAAAGAGGTATGTTGTTTTTTCCAATTTAACTTGAATGTCTCTGTAGTTTCATTTTCTTTTTAACTTTCTCTCAATACTTCGAGAATTTTCTAGGTTCTCTTTTTTGGTAAGCTATATTGCTGTGCTGAAAAAAGACACTTCCGATGCTTTTCAAATTTCTGTTTGTTTTTCTTTTAAAAAGGACAGTTAGTTCAGAAAGCAATTTTTAAGACTTTTGAATTTTGACAATTTTTGGAGGCTAAAATTTTTAACCATGCATCATATTGAAATAAAAAATAAAGAGTAGATGCTCTGCTTGGAACACACCCTTCATTTCCTAAAAACTTATATTCTTTGTATATAAAAACATGTATGGTAGTTGAAAATGAAAATGAAGTTCAGAAAATGGTAACAAAAATTGGTATGATTTGAAATGAACAAAGTTTGTTTTTTTTTTTAAATAAATAGTGTAATAATGTTTGTTAACATGGTACCATTAACAAAAGTTGTTTTCATTGTTTCCTAAAAGCATTATTTGTTCACACTTGAAAATTACACGTATACATATTACCAGACATGTTCCATATACAAATCTATATGAACTTAGAAAATGAAACTAGAAAGTGTTCTTAACGATTAAATTATAGCCCAATGTTTTGTATTTCTTGGCAATAATTCACTGGTTATTTAAAAATATTATAGCTATAATATGCAGAGCTTTCCTAAACAGATAGGAACTGTCATCTTGATGCTACTTCTGTTTTCTGTAGTCTGA